TTGTCTAGTTATTTTTCAGAAAACCCTACACTCTTTTTTTCTTTCTCCTTCGTTCACACGTGCGATTCCTCTCACGTCGACGTTTCACGAAACCAAACTATGAAAGTAGCGAGAGTTGAAATGTCTTCTTCTCCGTAGGTCTAATCTAACGAATTTGAGCTTCAATCCGTGAAATCTGGTTGGTTACACATTGTTCGGTAGGTATGTTGAATTTGAGCTACTACTATAGAAGACTTTGCAAAGCGAATTAGCATCCTGCACGAAATCCAACCTAAACTGGCCATTGACTGACAATAAAGTAAAAATACATCCATGAATTAGCATAGACAACATGAAATTCGAGTAATACTTTGCCAAAACAGCTTCTCTTGACACCTTCAAAGTTATATAGTCCTCCAGCATCAACCAATTAGTTTTTTCAACATGCGGGCCTTGTTCTTCATAGAATTCATGAGTTGCTACTCGACCATTGACGGAAGCATCACCAACTATATCACGGGTTCTCCTCTAGGCTTCCAAAATCCGCCTTCTGCCCCTTTGTTCTCCATTGAGTTCCCGAAGCACCACATATTTTCTGCTAAGATTAATTTATGGCTAGTAATGTTAGTCGGCATGTGCATTAGAGTAGCAAACCTTGTGAATTTGTGACAGCAGTTTGTGTCATTTTTGGTCACGGAAAGATATTTTATGATGATGAGATTGATATTATTTCATGGACACTACATAGGGGCATATATGTCCTTTATATTAGTATCTGATTTCTACCAAACAATGAATAAGATAGGATATAAAAATATCCGACTTTAAATCCGAAATTCACCAAATAGTAAATAGGATATGACAAAATCCCATGACTTCTTATCCTATCCTATCCTATCCAGTCCTATCTTGATTAGAAATCCGGACGACCAAACGTAGCCAAAAGGGATAAAGATACGAAGGATCCTTAAATTTTGATTCAATATGCAATATGATCCTTGAACTTTTAATTTATTTAATACGGTCCCTGAACTTTAACCTAATATATAATATGATCCTTGAATTTTTAATTTATTAAATGTGATCTTTGGATTTTTAGTACATGTTCAACTTGGTCCCTGAACTATATAAATATGTTCAATATTTAATTCAAGTTCAAGGACAACATTGAACATTCTCATATAATTTTGGAACTAAATCGAACATGTTCCAAAAGTCCAAGGACCACATTGAACAAATTGAAAAATTGAAAGTTCAGGGTCCACGTTGCACATTGGGCTATAGTTCAGGGACCTCATAAAACAAATTAAAAGTTTATGGACCACATTGAACATTGAGCCAAAGTTTAAGGACCATTAGTGTCATTTTCCCAACAATAAATAAGTAAATTAATTTAAATAAAAAAAAGAAAAGAAAATGGACAGGAGCGGAGACGGGTGCACCCAACTACACGATTGTCAATGCATTGGCATCAAGTGAAGTGGAAACATGCGGACTTTTTGTACACCACCTTCTCCTCTTGGCTTGACTCTGTGTATTTACAATAAATTAGAAAATGAATTTCATTTGTTGGAACAAGTTTTCTATTTTTTTAATAATTATATAAAAAGATGTTAATCGACTTGGAAAGTATCGAGAGATTAAGAAAGGGGGGGCGAAAAAGGAGGTAAACACAGGGCGTTTGGTAGCATCTGAGTCATCCAATCTTGTCAATCACTTTGATCCTACATCGTGTATGCAATTGTAATTTTAATTTCGATTTTGTTAAGGCGCTTGCTAAAGACACGTTTCGAGGTGGACGCATTCGATTTTCAAAGCATCGATTGTTCACGTCACAATGACAATTAATGCATTTGGAACCGTGATATTTCGTTATCTGGATATTTAACTCGTGGTCCGAAATCATTTTTTAACAATTAAAGCTCTAACGCTTAATTTTTTGAAAAGAGTTGCTATCTTACTTGATGCAATTTTTTTATGTGATTGATGAATCCAGAAAAGGTCGAAGACTTTCTCTAGAATGACACTTCAAATGTGTACGCGGGCGTGTCAATAACAGCCTAATGGTTTTTTCCTACCAAATAAGAATCTCAATGTTCATCTAGATCTTCAATATATATTAATATTAAAGATAATGGCGCCGCAAATACCTAACTTTTAATTAGTTTCGCAATGAAGTACTTGAATTATTTTTGTTCAATCAAATATCTCAAAAAAGTGACTCACTATAGTGCCCCAGTTAAAAAAAAATTGCCACGTCATATGTTTATCGCTGACATGGCTCGTTTTACTCAATAAAAATGTTGGCGTGGCTTGCTTGTTCAGCCAAAAATGCTGACTAGGGTTGCCAACAAAATTTAGATTAATCAAATAATTTTATTCTTCTTTCTTTTTCATGATCTTTTCGATGTTGAGAAGACAATGTTGAAATGTCACTTGGATTTTCATTTTTTTTATTGATCAACAAGTTAAGGGGCACGAATTGCGTGCGATTGGTGCGACTATCACGTGAATGTCAGTCTTTCTCTAATAAAGAAAAATATAATGATCAGGAACATAGAAAAGAAAAGGTTAAATTTTCTCAAACACGTGGACACCACGTCACAAAATTAGAGGCGTAATTCCCTTAAATAGCACCAACTTAGGTCGGGTCCGAAATTTTGACCCAAATTTTATTTTGTCCTGTAAAGAAAACACAAATTTTAGGTCGCGTCCCAATTCTGGCCCAAATTTTTTTTTTATCTCATAAGCACTAACTTTAGGTTGGATCTCAATTTTTATCTAAATATTTTGTTATCTCCTAAAAATGCACCAACTTTTAGTCGATACCCAAATCCGACTCCCATCAAGTTTTTGTTTAATGATGTCGTTAAAGATTTGACGTGTTATTCCATGTGTACTCGGCAAAAGCTTAACAGAAACTCGATGACAGCTAGAATTGGCATTGGCTACCGACTGAAAATTGGTGCTTTTTCACGACTAAGGCTAGGTTAAATTTTATTTGACTTTTAGCTTGCATCTTAGGGTGCGAATGGTAACCATTCTACTCCATAAATCAAATTCTTGCCAGAAATTGATTTCTGGAGAAGAAATCTGTTTGATAAAACATGACTAATTCCGCTCCGAAATTGATTTTACGTAAATCTATTTCGATTTGTCGATTTTTTGCACCTAAAAAATTTAAATTTTACTCAAAGTGGGTGGCCACATGTATTATAAGCCATTCTGTAAAGTTTTGAAATTTTTATTTTTTTTAATTTTTTTGGGCACCTAAAATAATTAAAATTTCACTTAAAGTGTACCACGAGGTATTCTAGCCATTTTGTGAAGTTTTGAATTTTTTTATTTTTTATTTTTTTGACACCTCAAAAAATTTAAATTTTACTCAAAGTGGTGGCTACAGATATTCTAAGTCATTCGTGAAGTTTTAAAATTTTTTATTTTTTTGGGCACCTCAAAAATTTAAATTTCACTCAGTGGGTGGTACACAAGTATTTTAAGCCATTTTGTGAAGTTTTGAAAATTTTTATTTTTTTTTTTTTTTTTGCACCTAAAAAATTTAAATTTTACTCAAAGTAGGTGGCTATGGTATTTTAAGCCATTTTGTGAAGTTTTGAAATTTTTGATTTTTTTGGGCACCTCAAAAATTTAAATTTCACTCAAGTGGGTACACGCATGTGTTTTAAGCTATTCATGAAGTTTTGAAATTTTGATTTTTTTATTTTTAAAAAAATTCACCAAATTTCATATTTTCCCGAAATCTGACTTTTTTATTTTCTGAAATTTTTATGAATTTTTCTAGAATTTTTAAATTTTTATGCATTTTCTGAAAAAAAAAAATTGTGAGAAAATAGGGGATAATGCATTCCGGAATCGAAGCTACAAAAGTAGCTTCTCTTTTCTTGTCAAAACTCATTCGAATCAAAAATGCGTTGGAATCGAATTCTCTGGAATCAGTATTTTTAACAAACGCATTTTTATTCCGAATGCAAAATCGCTCTGAACGCATTCGGAAATTTTTTAACAAACGCATTTATTCGGAATGCATTCGAAAGAATTTTATTCGAATGCATTCCATGCGCACCTTACTTGATTTGTTACTGATGGGACCACTCAACTGTTTTAAAAAATTAAGCTATCAGATTTAATGTTAATATATTCCAACACCTGAAATTTTCCTACTTTTCACATGCGATGATATATCAAGCAAAGAATCTCCGATGGAGAATTATTACATGACAATCCAAATGGGAGGCGAAAGAGTTTAACCCTCAAAAAATTGGATTTAAATGGCCTAAAAAAAATGTTTACAGTGCTAATAATATAAGTGCTATCAAAACTAAATATAAAAATGTTACCGTCACTACCATAAGTATGAAGAGTATTCATAATAACAGTAAAAATCATAATTCTAGTGCAGCTAGTAGCTTTGGAAAAACTACGAATTCTTATTAGTAACTAAGAAAGTATCCCACGACATTCGCTATAAGGTCTTTTTTTATATATATATACATAAATATTGTTTCCACCCACTTATTATATCAAAGTCGTTGGATTCAACTTTTAAATATGGTATCAGAGTCCGATTTCGCCCTAGATTTATTTCACGGCCGAGGCTTCCCAGCCATCAATTCCATGTGTCATTCTCAGTCCGGTTTACACTGGAGAAGAGGGTACCGAAATCTCACGAAAAGTCTCTTTCTATCTATTAATTTAAACTTTGGGATTAGACTTTTTACTCCCAGACGCTCCCACAAACAAACCCTCATGTCTTCTTCACCACACACCACCATCCGCCGCCATTGACCCCCCCTCACCGCCACAGCTGCAGCCGTCGCAAACCTCCCCTCCCCCTATGCACGAGGTGCCTCCGCCTCGCTCATTCTTCTATGCAATTTCTCTCTACCATCGTTCTCTCCCTCTCTCTGCTCCCAAATCTCAGAGACCTCCATGGAGGTCCATTCATGGGCACCGGAGGCAAAGGAGGAAAAACCAAAAATAAACGATGCTGGGCCTAGGGGTGTAGAAAAACTTTATTTTCAGGTTAATAACCTTTTTAAATGCAGTCAGCATAAGAATACAGAGCCTCTCTCCCATTACGTACTTGTATAATAATTTCTACTGTTAAAATAGGTACAAGAAAATCCTCCAAAATGAAGTAACAATAGGCAGCTACAACAGCGTCATCACCTGGCATGGAACAAACAAAAATCCAGCATTACATCGCTGTGTTCAGAACCATATAACCAGATTTCTCAGCATTATAAGTTTGTCTATTCTCATATGGAAGTCCATTCAGTGAAGCCTCTTGGAAACAACACATTGAAAGATTTGTAGAGAAGGGAGACTAAAAGAGTCGAGCATGCTAGCAGAATAAAAGCTGCGTTCAGCCATCTCACTTTTCCTAGGCCTATAACTGACTAAACGGTTCGTCCCAACCAGACATCGAACTCTATCATTTACCAGCCATTGGCCCAACAAAAAAGAAAGCATAAAAAATGACAACGAAAGAAAGCACCCCTTTCCAAAAGGAACAAAGGAATGTACTCAATGAAGATTCTTGTAAGAACCTTCCTACCCATATAAAAGATTTTACGTGGAAGAAGCAGAGTTTTCACTTTCAAGGGTCTGAATATGAAGTGGAAGCGGGTATATACTTAAATAGATGTATTCCATCTTTCAATTAGTGGAGCACAGAATCAGGTTCTGTTTCATATAAAAACATATCAGAATCCAAACTTGGGATATCAACATCATTAAGCCAATTTCAAATCATAGTACTAACATAAGGTCAAGAAACCTTTGTACTCTCCCACCCAGCTAATTATCTCAAAACGAGGGGCAGTGTAGGACAAGGTCTTTGCATGACCACTAGAACAAGAACTACACTCATTTCTTCAACCTTAAAATTTAATTCATATTGAAAAAATTGAAACGGTTCTTGTAAAAAATAAGATAATAGAGTTACCACAGGATATCCAAAGCTGATGACAGAACATATATGGATGCTCTAGACAGTAGCCTGCAGAAATGTGCAAGATAGAATTAGCGTGTACAGCTCCCATCCTTTTTTACCAAAACAATATATTCAAATAAATCAAGTAAAAAAGTACATGCAAGAATTAAAGTAGGTCAACCACTATTTGCCTATTTACCCAAGGAGGAGGGGGGAAAGAGCAACTTGGCCTGACGTTTCAACCATGACATGCCACTTATGGCAGAATAACTATTATGTTCATTCTATTGGCAATGATTGTTAACGCAAGGCCTTTGTAAATTGTTGACACGACGAAAACTGGCTGCGCCATCACCTTTCAATTTTATAAGTGGTAAATGGAGAAGTTAATAACTGTGAGCATCCCCACTCTTAATTTCATCACTTTCGAAATATTACTCTTATTCCTTATACCCTAGTTAAGGTGTTGAAATGCATTTTTCTGTCAGAGTTATGCTAAAATTTCAGCATTTCATGATAATATGTAGACCTACCAATTCACCATGCATAGCACTAGGTAACCTCCATCTTCAGCCTCCCTTGGAAGCAACTTTTATTTGTGGTACTTAAAATACTGCATAGGACCAATTGAGAAAAAAAGTACGACCGCACAAAGGCTCGAGCTATTTCCAGAGCTACAAATGATGCAGCCACAGCTTCAGAAATTGAACGTCTTAAAATGAGTGAACACCCTTTGGGATAAGTAGGCAACCCATGAAAATGAATAGCATGTTGACCGCACTTCATAAGCCATCCTCACTCTATCTCCTATGAGTGTGAATTCCTAACTAAGGGAGAACGAACAATTGGTAGAAGCCCTGACGCGCTGTACACACCTCTCTGTAAATCCCAGAGCTTGTGGTTTTAGTTCCTCTCAAAGAAGGATTTCTACCCACAGAGGTTACTCAAACTATCTGATATATAAAGAGTCTCTCTCCCGCAACCACACCCCCCCCCTCTCATATTGCACAAAAGTCTTGTAGAAAGCTCATTATGGGGTAGTGATGAGTTTTTATTATGTTAAATCTTTTACTTCTTTCATTCTGCTGCAGACCTAAAAAAACTGGAAGCTGCACCTTCAAAAGATGAAATTAGCTTCTATCAAGATTCTAAAATATAACCAATTGGCCTTCTCTGCAAAGAATGAAAAACCAGCACTTGATTGATCAACCAATCAAAGGTTGCTTGATCTTTTATTCATAGAATGCAACATGCTCTACATTGCATCCATTTCAACTAACAAGGTAACATACAATATGACGGAAACTTTTTTGGAAAATCTTAAATCCTTATCAATGCATGAATTACTTCTATTCAAAACAATGATAGAGCTTGAAAAGCTTTAGCGTCAGAGAGAGAGAGAGAGAGAGAGAGACTGGGTGAGGGACCAGAAACAGGAGCTGGGGAATAAGGGGCAGAGCTACTGCAATTTTTACTCCTGATATTAAACGAGGGTATAATAGCCGTTGGACATGACTAGAGCCATTTTGGGTGTGGAAATAGAAGCCTTGTGTAATTAGATCAATGTACACATGCAAAGTTGTTAAAAGCTACATCATTATGCTAAATGATCTCATTAGATATTATGCTCAAGTACTGGTTCTCTAAAAGCTACTTCAGGAATGACTCAGGTGCAACAACCATATTTAAAAAACATATAGCATTATATCAACTTGTGAAGACGATACAGCCCAATTGATCACCATTGATTTGTTCGTTTAAGTGAAGATAACACAACAGTGGCGCTTTACCTTCTCAGAGTTTGAGGTGAAAATTGTTTTAATGGCCTCAAAGACCTCTTCGACAGGCTTTCCAGCATCAATCTGAATAAAAGCCAATATAGATAAGCAATTAAATGAAATAAGAACATGCAAATACACCCACAGAAGATTTCAACACATTTAGAGATTTCCTCACCTTTCTGACTTTTCCCTTGGAATTGTAATACTCGATAACTGGGAGGCTAGACTCCAAGAACACCTTAAACCTTTTCCTTATTGTTTCGATGTTGTCATCTTCTCTTCCCTTCAAAACCAGTAACAGATAATGGAAAAACATCAGATTTCTAAAATGACTACGTGAGCTGGAAAGGTGACAAAAGCAGGGATGTGTGCTTGTATGGTAAAGGTGGTGAAGAAATAAATGCCTGACCTGATTCCTGTTCAACAAGCGCCTTTCCATCTCTTCCTCAGAACAATCAAAAAACAACACGAATTCTGGCTCAATTTTAGTCTGCAGAAATTTCACTTGTTATCCCTTTCAGAAGGAAGATCAACATGCAATAGCTAATAGGCTCACATTTGAAATATGTGGGATGATACTAGATCAGTAATAAGATTAGAGCAGTGCATTACAAACAAAAACAGGTGTGAGGTGTGGCCAAACTTACAACAGCTTCAAATGCGGCACGATTTTCCTCATTCCGAGGGAAACCATCAATAAGGAACTTGTCATTTCCATTTTCCAGTATTGCTTTCTCCAGGAGCTTGATTGTCACTTCTGAAGGCACAATCTTTCCCTCCTTAATCATATCCTGGATCATAGTTCTGCCAATTGAAAGAGGAATTTTGGTTGGTCGTTGGGCCTTCAAAGAGACAACTCAATTGTACAAGAACCTAAAAGACATGGCTCCTATCATGTGCATTCATTCATCTCGAGATGGCTTCAGTCATCTCTCCGGTTAAAAAAGGCATATAGGAATGTCAACCGTGTAGTTAGGGCTAACAACTGAAGTTTCCACCTCGCAATTAATCATTAATGCCAATTAGCAGGAATATAAATACGTCTGACCCAGGGATAACATGTTAGTTATTCGCATCAAATTTTCAGAACACAAAAAAAAAATTGATCATATAAAACAAGCTTGTTTAACAACATTTTTTGTCACTTATAAGCATATGATAACAGGTTATAATGTGTGTAAGTGACAAGGTGTGATGAATAATAGTTGAACCAGTCAAATACACATTTCTGAATGAGCTTAAGAGACTGCCAAGTGTTAACTTATGTAGGACATGGTCCTTTTTCATGTTTCACCGTTTATGCTGTGATGTTGGGTTCAAAACAGTGAACTAACTAAAAGTCAAATATGGGTTATGTGAACAACCCATGTCACAAATTGCAGCTTCCAGTGAGTTAATAACAACACAGTGCCGCCAATTGCTGCCCAAGCGCCAAATATGTGCATGCACATGCACAACCCATGTAACAAATTGCAGCTTTGAAGGCGGTTCGTCATCTCAACCAGAGTTCAAAATCACCAGTGAATCAATAACAACACAGTGCAACCAATCACCGCCCAAGTGGCAAAGCTCTGCGTGCGAGCGCGAGTGCGTGATGTCTCAAACCGGCTTGATATCTCAACCAGAGCTCAAACTCCAGTGAATCAATAACAACACAGTGCAACCAATTGCTGACCAAGCACCCCCCCCCCCCTCTCTCCCTCCCTCTCTCTCCGTCACTCCCTCCCTCCCTCCTTCTCTCTCTCTCTGTAGCCGTTAAAGCAGAGTATCATTACAACTAATGTGGGTGTGAACAACAATATCATCTAACACGTAACGATTCATGAAACATTATCTCAGTGGAAACAAAGCCAAAAACAATTGTGAAATGACCAAGCAATCCTGTTTAACTGAGCATTAAAAAGAACTACAAAAGAAAGAAAAATAGCATGACATATAAAACTTTACTTGAGCATACCTGGACTTACATTTTTAAGTTTAGTCAAGAAGAGGATCCTACCACATGGAGAATAGAGAATGCACATATCTCTAGCGAAAAGTACAAGTACAGATACTATCTATACTAACTTCCTGAAATAATAGAAGATTAATGACAGCGGCATTATTACCCATTTTCAGAACCAGATTTGATTTCTGCTCGGAGAAGGTCACCAGCACTGAGATGTGTGAAGCCAAAGTGCTGAACAATATTGGCACATTGCGTACCCTTTCCACTGCCTGGTCCACCTACAAACTTAAGAAAGCTAAATTAAAAACGTTGAAAGAGCCTCTACTCTTTTGGCAAATAAGAATTTAGAAATTTCTGAAGCGATAAAAGCACTCCTTCCAATAAATTAAAAGAAATTTAAAGACCCATATCAAATCTGTATAAGCAAAATTAGATGTGAATACATTGAATCATATACTCCATATTTAAACTTTCGGCCATTAAAAAATCAATTCTACTATTCTCCATCCAGAAGACAGACATGAACCCCAGTTTATCATGAGAATAAGCAAAAACTATTAAACTTGCATAATAGCAAATGGTCACATATTATGCCTCTAGTCATAACATATGATGCATTTCAAATGAATCATTTATATTTAAATTAACATGATGGAGCTACCGAATGCTCATTCAGTTTTGAAGGAATAGAATATATTGAAAAAGAAAATAGAAAGGTTAATGCTGAAAAAAGGGGGAAAAGGAATCAAATAAATTCAAAAAGAAAAAGAAAAACTGAGTGATTAAATTGAATTTTGTCCTACAGAAAAAAATCTCACCTAACTCTAAATCAAGCACCAAGCATATGATCCAAAGGAAAAGGATCAAAACTTCAAACAAAAGACAAACATATTGAAAATTTGAAACACAATGCATCCCTCAAGCAACTCTGCTGAAAGATCTGATTTGAGTCTACTTTCTGCTAATTGACAAACTTAAATAATAGATCAAAATAGAGCATCATGGAATCTAATAGAAGCTAACTGATGGAATTGGTTATTATTAAAAAGATCGTACTGATAAAATAAAGGACCCCGCTATCCCTAAAGCAAGTTGCAGAAACTTAAGAATAGATGCTCACCCAAAACAAAAACAACTGTGGGCTTCTTATCTGTCAAGCTTCCCTCCTGTAAGCAGGGCAGTTTCTCATGTCAGCATTGCACATCAGTGAAGTTGGAAGAATATGTCAAAAGCAACTTTGCCCTAGAGAGAGAATCTTCACAACTACCAGTATTCTTCATATCAACAAATTCCTCTGAATATGTTCTCATAGCAAGTTGTCAAGTCACTTTGATACATGGATGTCACACAAACCTTAGATTAACACAAGCGCGAGCACACCCCACCCTCCCCACACACACACACCCACAACCACACACATACACATACACATACGCACACGCGCATGCACAGAGAGACAGAGACAGAGACAGAGAGGGGGAGGGATAGAATCAAAGTTTTTCTGGAACATGCTCAGCAGAACAGTTACTCAATGCTCTAGACTACGATAATGTATAATGAGAAACCAGTCAAGCATTTTATTCTAAAGTAAATTTCACTAGGAGACTTGACCTAGCAATTCAAATGCATCTTATCTAATCATCATGCATGCTTAGTGCATTTTATCAGACTTTTCAGTTTCAACTTTTGCGGTCCATTGTGCTCAACTTGATCCCTTATTATCACCTAAGCAGGGTGTCGAGATACCTTTGATATGGCCCCAACTCTCAGCAACAAAAGGAACTTCTAAGTTCTTACTAAATGTTTGAGTATGAATGAAATTCAAACATGAGCATGGAGATGCAGAAATAACTGAGATTGAGAAGTCTACTACTCCAGATTGGAAGAATGAATAACATTTGAGTGCACATCAGGCATTACATCATGGCTACTGTTTAGGACTAACATTCAAAACAGAACATAAAGTAACCAAAAGAAAGCCGTGCTAGAGAAGAAATTAGATGCTTGCCTCAATTGCAACATCAATAACACTTCCCATGAGAGCCAGCTAAAGAATGTTGAACCACAAGATCTGGATCGCCAAGAAGAATAATTGTATTAGAACAGCTAAATTCATGCTATCAATTCTTGGTAGAGGCTGCCAAGTAGAGGCCATGTTAAGCTCCAAACAATGGAGTGCATTTCAGAGAGAAAATACCAGAAACCATTGACATATAATTTGGCACAAAAGCAGATCAGCTTGCAAACATGCACCATATCTGCCGATCGATCATCTTGATCCATACGAGCTTAAAACATTCTTACCCATCACAAAATCAAGGTGTTCTGACTGTTGTGGAATAGCTTCGGTATAACCTATTAACTATTCCATTCTACAGATCAGCTCTGATCCCAAAGAGAACACCTTAAGACGAAACCCTACAAATCCAGATCATTGACTCGACTGATGACAACTTGGAAGATCAAATCGTACGATTGAATTCACTGCATGATGGTTGCACTTATATTTCAATAGCTAAGTAATCGTATGAGAAAAAGCATTAAACTTACGATTATCGTATGCGCATACACTAAACAGATACGCCTATGCTTTTATAAAAAAAAGGAACTTGAATCTAACGAGTGAACATTTTGACACAATGCTCAACTAGGAAGAAGAAAAATCTCTTCTTTTTCGCCCTCCTCAGCTCTCTTCCAAGAACCCTGTCAACCCAAATGCTGAAAAAGAAAGATCACCCCCGCAAGAGGTGAATCCCAATGGTGGGTCGGGTAACAACTAGGCCCGCCGAACAATTCAGAGCCGAAACGTTCCGAAATTCCAACAGAGACACCAACCGAAACGCAGAGCAGCTGATAATCGTTCGCACTTCACAGCGCACAAAATCGTCACAAAAAAGCGATGGAACCAACCGGATCTAATAAAAATGCCAAACCAGATCAGATCCAGCAAAACCCACGAGACACGAGCATGCAACGAAGCAACAAACGGAAGCACAAGCAAAGCACGGAGGATCTCGAAAGCCGCACACAGATCAAACCGAAACCAAGAAAATTTGCAGGAAGAGACAGAGAGAGACGCATTAGATCCAGAGGATTACCTCTGCAAGAAAATGCGAGAGAGACAAAGATCTGAGAGGAAGATGGAGAGATGATGGTGGAGGAGGAAGAAGCTGGTGAATCGAGGCTTTATAGGCTCGTTGGGTGGTGTGGGTCGATTGGCAACTTTGCGTGATCCTGACGGTTACAGTTACAGACAACCCTCGCGCCCGAACCTTAAAAGGAACGAACGGGCAATGTAAATTTCCCCAGCTCAAGATTCCATAAAGCCCAAGACCCGTCCGCGTCCGAGGTTACGGCTTAGATTCCATGGCTAGGACTAAATTTTTATTACAAGGGTGCACCTTTCCCCGTGGATGCTCGGTCGGTCATAGCGATTCGATTCGTCGAAGGGTAGGAGTCGAATTAGCGACGGCTCTGGCAACGACCATCTGGGAGACGAAGGTGATGAGGTGTGGGGCTCGTTGACGGCAGACGGCCACTTGAGCACTCGATGGGTAATGGAGTGATGGTCGGATGGGATGGGCGTTCGATTGAATGATATTCATCTGGAGAGAAATCTAGGTCAACTTATCAAGGGGAACAAAGTGGCACCAACAGGGCATTACGGTAATAGTTTAACCATCTGGCGTACTTGATACGATAATGCGAATGAATCGACTAACCTAAAGGTGAAATCAATTGGTTAGATGCAAACAAGATCGATTCATTTGAAGAAATTATTATTGCTGGGACATGTATTCGGTCACCTCATCTCGGGAAGGTAAAAAGAATTGTAATCACGGGACCTCAATTTAAGGCTCTGATCCGAGCCCAAACCCATCCTTATATAAGGTGCAGTTCTTTTCTTTTCTTTTTTACTGCTCTGACTCTCCTCTCTCTCTCTTTCTCAGACTTTTATCTATCTCTTTGTAGAGCGTGAAAATCTAACTCAACTCCTGAAACTAAACGTCTCCACCCCACCCACTTCGCTTAACACTGGATCGCGTGCCCGGTGGGTATATAATGCATGTGCACAAGATTTTATATTAAGTAGAAAGTAGAAATAAATCCATATATTCTAGTCTGAAGTGTTGACACTTGAATTTTGTCCCTTTCAAATCGAGCGAAAGTTACAAATCGGGTCCACTTATGACATCAAAATTTAACACTTGAACAAAAAACATGCATAGCGCATAATCTTGCATTCTCATTCCTCTATTGCATTCTTCTGCCTTTAGAAATTACGGACAACTTTGTTTAAGAATAGCATCTATCAGCATCGAACATGGAAGTGGCATCTGTGCATGCCATACACGGACCATGGGAAAATTGTCCAAACAGTCCTAAACCTATTACACTTTTACCAATTCAGTCCTAAACCTTTCAATTTTGCCAATTGAGTCATAAACCTTTTCATTTATTGCCAGTTGAGTCTTAAATCTTTTCATTTCTTACCAATTGAGTCCATCCAGCCAATTTTGATCTGAAATCGCTGACGTGGATGTCAGGCGGCCACGTGGCGCTGACGTGGACATTTTAAAATAATATTTTAATAATTTTATGATTTTTTTATGCTTTTTTCTTCTTCTTTTTTTCCTTTTGCTCAGTTTTTTTTTTTTTTGGGGTTTGAAATTAGAGCCGGCAAGGATGGCCGATCGACCCTCGCTGGCCACGGGCGAGGGCCGGCGACCCTCGCCGGCTCTGGGCGAGGGCTGGCCGACCCTCGTTGGCTCTGGGCAAGGGTTGTGACGCCTTCGCCAGCCAAAGCGAGGGCGCGCGAGCCCTCGCCCGAATCTGGCGAGGGTCGCGATGCCCTCGCCAGATCTGGCCAAGCGAGGGCTTGGCGGCCCTAGCCGGACCCAGGCGAGGCACTCGAGGCCGTTGTATGCCTCGCCTAGGGCCGGCGAGGGCCGCCAAGCCCTCATCTAGCCAGATCTGGCGAGGGCGTCGCGACCCTCGCCGAATCTGGGCGAGGGCTCGCGCGCCCTCGCTTTGGCCGGCAAGGGCGTCGCGGCCCTTGCCGAGAGCTGGTGAGGGCCGCGATGCCCTCGCCCGTGGCCAGCGAGGGTCGGCCAGCCACCCTCACCGGCCCTAAGTCGAAACCCAGAAAAAAAAAAAAACAGAGCAAAAGGGAAAAATAAAAAATAAAAAAAAGAAAAAAGCACAAAAAAATCATAAATTTATTAAAATATTATTTTAAAATGTCCACGTCAGCGCCACGTGGCCGTCCGGCGTCCATGTCAGCGATTTCCGATCAAAATTGGCCGGATGGACTCAATTGGCAAGAAATGAAAAGGTTTAGGATTCAACTGATAAGAAATGAAAGATTTATGACTCAATTGGTAAAGTTGAAAGGTTTAGGACTGAATTGGCAAAAGTGCAATAGGTTTAGGACTGTTTGGACAATTTTTCCCACGGACCACTCTAAGCAAGGCAAGAATGAAGAAAATGACATGTTCGGTCAATGCATTAGTGGAATGAATGGGAGAGATGAGATTGGGGAAAAACTGCACGCACGAAAAGGGGCCTCTGTTTTCATTTTGAATCAGGAAAGGGGAATCTTCTAGGAAGGAGATCAGGAAAGTCCAGGATCAGCTCCACCAAAGTCCTCATTGACTCCACGAAGTCCTCATCGACTTGGTGGCATCACCGTATTTCGTGGTATCTTCTTCGGCAATTTACAAGAGGGAACCGATCAGCATCTTTCAAAGGGGGATGTGCAGGAGCTGAAACAAAGCAAGGGAGAGAGCAGCACGCATTCTGGTGGACTGTGGAGTGCACGCACGGGAAGAATCAGAAAGAGAGAGAAGAGGAGTCAGGGAGAGAGTGCATCTTTCAAAGGGGGGATGTGCAGGAGCTGAAACAAAGCAAGGGAGAGAGCAGCACGCGTTCTGGTGGACTGTGGAGTGCACGCACGGGAAGAATCAGAAAGAGAGAGAAGAGGAGTCAGGGAGAGAGTCACGGAGGAAAAATAAAGATACGAGTGCATTAGAAGTCCTAAAACTTATCGAAACAATACAACTAAGTCCTAAAATTTTCGAGAAGGTCAATTTATTCCTAAAATTTGTCCGATCGGTACAATCAAGTCTTTGCGTTAACTCCGTCCAATTTGGCTAACAGAAAATACCGATTTAGCATTTTTTTTTAATTATTTTTTCTATCTTATGTGGCACTAACGCAACTAAAAGATATCATTTTGGTCCAAATTTTAATACGATTTTTTTAAGTTATATTTTTAAAAAATAAGCAAACACTAAAAAATATATAAAAAGAAGATAATGCAAGCAAGTGCTTGCAGCCCTCGCCATCGGCCCACCATCGCCAAAGGGGATGGCTGGCGGCCCTCAGCAATCGCAAGCAAGAGGGCTTGCAGGATTGGGGCGAAGGTCGCGGCCCTCCCCCAAGTCTGGCCAAGGGCCGCCAGTGGTGGAGTTGGCCGTCAATGTCCACCCTCAGCCAGACCTAGGCGAGGGCCAGCGTCCCTCGCCCGATCTGGGAGAGGGCCCTTGCCCATATTTGGGAGAGGGTCGCAGTTAGCGGGGATAGCTGGGCCCTGGTGACCATTCCTCCACCATCATCGGTCCTTCCCAGGATAAGGTGGGGAAGCAGTGGTGAGCCCTCACTTGAGTTTCCCTTTTTTTCTTTTTTTTTTGTATTTACTTAAGTTTACTTATTTTTAATATAATTTAAATAAATTTTGTATTGAACAATCGGATTTGGACCAAAACAACATTATTTTAGCCTTATGTTTGATGTTTTAGCCACATCATCGCCACGTAGGAGAGAGAAAATAATAATAAAAAAGCCAGGTCAATATATTCCGTTACCAAGTTGGACAAAGTTAATAGAAGAACTTGATTGAACCAATTTGACAAGTTTTAGGATTTAATTGCACTTTTGAAAATTTTAGGACTCAATTGTAACTAGTTTTTGGACTTTCAATACACTATCCAAAAACAAACCAAGGCTTAAGCTCCTTTTGTTTCCTGAAAAATTTGATATTTTCTGAAAAATGTAGTTCAATAAGTCATTTTCTAGGGAAAATGCAATATTTTTTCCGATGTTAGGTTAAGATCTGAAAATGACTTGAAAATTTTTTTTCGTTGTTTGGAAAAGAAAACATTGAATTTATTTTCCTAAAGAGACATGCACTATTCCCATGATATCAAGGATAACTAGCCGTCGAGATCCCAATTGCAGGAGCCTGGGCTTCTTGGGCACAACCACTAGGAACTCGAGCATGAGCATTGAGGAACCAAGCCCGGTTTTAATAGAGTCGAGTCCGAGTGCCGATGACTTGGGTAGGAGAGTTAGGTACCCAGGCACGGTCGCTAGGGACTTGTGCATAGGCATTGAGGTCTTGGACCCAGTCTCAAGGGACCTGGGCCCATCCTTTGTGGACCTAGAGCGCAAGAGCCGAGTACCTAGGCATAGCCACTTGGGCGACCCAAACATGCCCCAAGCCCAACCACTATAGAAACCTAGGCCTAGCCTTGAAGGACTCGAGCCCAAGCGCTCGATTGGGATCCTGAACTTGGCCTTTGTGGGCCTGATCTTGTAAAGCATGGCCGTTGGGGATCGGAGCACCAAGCATCGAGGTCTTAAGTCTGGCCTTGATGGACCTACGCTCGACACTAGTGACTTGGGCATAGGAACTGAGTACTCGAGCACGGGAACCGAGGTTTGGGTCCAACCTTCATGGACCTAGGCCCGGCCTCAATGGAAGTGGGATCAGGAGCCGGGTACTCGAGTAGGGCCACCGAGTACCCAAGCTCGGCCTCTCTAGACTCGGGTCCCACCTCTGGGGACCTGGGCACGAGCACTAGGTTCCCGTGATGAAGCGTCAAGGCCAAGGTCTCTGGTCGAAACGCTGTTGTCTTGTCACCTGCGACGCAGCCCATGTGCGGATCTATGTGGGTGCGCGGGCGGCCCTTTCTTGAGCATCCTCGAGCCTCGTTGAGTTGGTTTTCGATGGTCTTTTGCTTTCAAATCGGATCCTCATGCCTGAATATCTTGTTTGCTTGTGTTTAGATTACTTTTGCTTTTGTAGTTCCAATTAGGCTCTCTCCTACTTTCCGATCGCGTTCGAGTCATAGATTCTAACCATTTGTTCACCTCATTCGATTCATTTTTTAAAGTTGGAGAACATCGCATGGAATTCATTTTACTGATAAAGAAAAGTTTAGGTACTCTTATGTATTGTTCGCGTAAAGGACTTAACTACACTTTATAAGAAAACTTCAGCACTTGACTAAATTCATTGAAAGGTTTCGGACTGTGTTGCATAAAGCAGCGCATATAAGATTTGGTACTTTTAGTGAACGGATGCTGTCATTGCTTGTCGTCGAATTAATTTCAATGAGACTTATCAACCTTAGTTGTTGAAAGGTTTTGGGGTCAATTTTGGGCTGTATCGGCCCTATACTGTTGGCTAACATGGCGCACAAAGTCAACTTTTCATTTTGGACTTTTGTTGTTAGTTTTTGGGAAAATTATCCAAAAATTCATAAACTTATTACAATTTTATCAATTTGATCATAAATATTTTAATTTTTCCATTTTAACCATAAACCTTTTTACGTTTTGTCAATTTAGTCCATCCAGTTAATTTTGGTCACCGGACATCCTGAATGGCATAGACAGTATTGACATGGACAATTTTTAATATTTTTTAATATTTTTCTATTTTTATTATATTTTTTTCCTTTTTTTTTTCTTTCTTCTTCTTTTTGTTGGTGGCCGGGCCAGCAGGTCTCACCTGCGCAAGGGTCACCCTTGCTCGCCACAAGATGCAAGACCCGACAAGGGTCGACCTCACCCAAGCTAGATCTGGCAAGGCCGGCCCTCCCTAGCCTTGGCGAGGGCCGGCCTCACCAAATCTGGATTGGCCAAGGGCAAGTCCTAGCGAGGGCTTCCATCACCAGACGTGGCGGGGCCAGCCCACTCCCAGGCCAGGGCGGCCTCGCTCGAGGCAGGCATAGGCAACCCTTGGCCGGCCATCAGTAAAAGGAAGAAAAAAGAAAAGAAAAAAGAAAAACGAAAAAAATCAAAAAAAAATAATTAAAAAGATATAAAATATCATTAAAAATTGTTCCCATAAGCGGCAGCCGTATCATGTATGACGGTCAGTATCTATGTCAGCAATTTTCAACTAAAATTAACTGAGTGGACTTAATTGCCAAAATATGAAAAAGTTTAGGATTCAATTGGCAAAATTAAAATATTTAGGACTGAATTGGCAAAAGTGTCATAAATTTATGAATTTTTAGATAATTTTCCCATTAGTTTTTTGGGTCAATTTTGGATTATGAAAAAAAAAACATCTTTTTTTCGAATTGCTAGGATGTTTTAGACGTAGGCAACTCGTGTCGATTACCACAGTTTGCTCTACAATGTCCGCTGGATTTCAGACGAAAATTCAATAAAAATGACGAAATCGCCATCAAAAACTCAAATGAAGATTATAATCGTAGAAAATAAAGGGCCCAATTTTATATAAAAAGCACAAATTTATGGCTGTCGCCTAATTTGGACGCAGCCTTCATTTGTCGGAAAACAAAAAAAAAAATGGCTCGATATCCAAATCCGACACCCGTTAAGAGCCGCCATTCCAATCCGCCCTCCATAGCTAACGTGGTGACGGACATGGACTGCGCGACTCACGCTATTTTCTTACCAGACCTCTAAACACATCAAAACCGACATAGTTTCTTCGAGCCCTTATTAAAATCAGGCTTGGTTTCTCCGGTCTCTCTACTGAAAATCTCAATCCAAATCCAAATAGAACCGAATGCAAATATAGGAATACTTCAGTGTCTCTATTGCTGTCTCCAGTGGAGGACGATTTCCCTTTCAAATAGCAAGAACCCCTAAACTTTTGTTCCCCCTAAACCTTAATTTTGCCCCCAAATGAAGAACCCTGTGGCTGCAATTGAAGTTGAAGAACCATATTAGCCCAAGCATTTCCCCAATTTTTGAACGTCCTCTCTCCCGCCTCGCCCTATTTATTTTTTGACTAAACGGCGTCGCTTCGATGGGTTTGGATACCAGGCCCGGCAACAGCATGAGGCGCATGTTCCACGTCTATTGCCGCGGTAAGTTTTGATGGCGGCTTAACGAGTGCCAAATTTGGATCTCGAGTCCGAGTTGGTGTAAGACAAATAAAAGTTCAGAAAAAGTGTCAGAAAAGTCATAAACTTATTGCATCAGTACAAATGTAGTCTTGAACCTTCTTTTAGTGCCAATTTAGTTCTAAATTTTTTGACAAAGTGCAAATTCGGTCTTTCCGGCTAATTTTAGCCGACAATTACTGGCATGGGCGTTAGCTAGCCAACACGGCACCGCCAGTGTTGACGTGGAAAATTTTTAATAAATTTTTAATATTTTTTTAGATATTTTTATTTCTTTTTTCTTTTTTTCTTTCTTCCTCCTTTTGCTGGTGACTAATCACCGACCACAAGCGATGGCCAACCATCGGCCATGGCTGAGCGAGTTGACCTTGCCTGGGCGAGGGTCGCAGTTGACTACCACAAGCGAGGCCTAGCCAGACGAGGGGCGACGCCCGACGAGGCCACCATGGCCTGGGCAAGGGACCGGTCTCACCAGATTGGGCGAGGCCTAGCGAGGGTCAGCCTCGCCCAGGCCACATCTCAAAAATAAAGTATATGAACTCAAGCAAGATGTACCAAAAGTCTAATTTCCCATTTTACTGACAACCTACCAAATACCGTATCAAAACCATTCATGATATTTCCAGAACTGTCTTTTGTTTTCTTTTAGGAAAAAAGAGAATTACTTGTATGCAAGCCCATATGAGTTAGATAGCGGAATATTAAAGCACAAGACGTTTTTAACACGGTCTTTTGAACGTCTAAAATAACATATAATCAAAAATTGGCAAAACTCAGTTTTAGTTTAGTTGACAGCCTAGGAATGAAAGAAAGATCTGACCATTTTATAGACCTGTTGAGTTCATGTTTTCCTCCATGCAATTTATTGGTAGTTTACTAAAAATGGTTAATATCACGAATAACCCAAAACTAGTACATTTATAATAAATTTACCCCAACAATAAATCGGTATACCTGTGACAAATTTATCCTATGTTAGTTTCTGTTAAATTTTACCGTGAAATTGATGAGTTAGATGACACGAGACAGTTGACAGATGTACCAGTTTGAGATTTTGCTCTCCGTTTGTCACTTGTGTACTGATTTTTTTTTTGTATTAATCCAATTTAACGGAAATTAATGAACGGTAAAGTTACAAGTTTGCCAATTTGGAGTTTTTGATGGTCAAAAAATTAATTTGGGTAAATTTATCATATCAATTTGAGATTTTTCATGATATTAACCCTACAAAAAATTGGCATCACCTACTTTCACTTTCAATCAAAATTTGTATCTAAAGTTGTCTGGCCAAAACTCAGTCTAATAATTTTAATTGGCGAGGAAGAACTAACGTGGAAGAAACAACGGGGAGAGGTAGCCAACAAAAGTTGCCCTTGAGGACCCCATGTTCCAGGTAGGGGTGTCAAAAGAACCTGCTGAAACACGACCCGATCCGATCCGACCCAAACATAAAATTTTTGTATTGGGTTGGGTTGGACCTTAATTTATTTGGGTAACCGTAGAAACAAGGCTTCAGCTTATTTTGGATCTACCCAAGCCTGCCCGAAACAAGCCCACCAGAAACAAACAAGAACCTAATGATCTTCTTGCTCCCTCCCAAGCCCACCCGAAACCTGTCATCTTCTTCCAGAGCTCCGCTTTCTCTCTCTACCGGATCCCGTCTCCTCCCCAGTTTGACTTGCGCCACCTCCCTCGATCCACCGGTCATCGTCATCGTCATCGTCATCGTCATCCCCTCCCAGGCATCGAGCTCGAACCGGGTCAGTCCCCGCAAACCCTAACTCCCTCCCGATTTCGTGAATGAAAGCGGGTCCATCGTGCGTCACCAACCGCTACGTCAGGTAGCGGATTCTGAATTGTGGGTCTTTCGAACCATTTTATTGCGGGTCCATCGTTCTTGTTGTGTTTCGGAGATTTCTTGTCCGGTTGTTTTGTTTTGTCCTTGCACGGTCGTGGATCGCGTTAACCCACTTGAATCTTTTTGAGTTTGATCGTGGATAGGCTTCGAAATCTCTACTGGGTAGATGCGCTTGATTTGATTTCGGCTCTTTCTCTGTTCCTGTTTCTGTGGCGATGACTCTGCTGAAAAAATTCACCCACGATGCTTTCGGCAAATCCAGTCCAACTGTTATCTCGTTGAAAAATGGGAACTTGGGCTGGAATTCCGAATTGATTTGGTTAAATTTCATTCGAGCAAATTGCATCGCCACCCATGGTGAAAATTAGATTTTTTTATTTTTATTTTTTACTTCCCCAGTGGTTCTCCGGATGATTTCGTAGTAAAAGACATGTTTATCTTGGTATGAAGTATTGAAGTGTCATTTTCAGTTCGAATTTGCTATTGCTGGGTAATTTGAGTGGAATACTTTCTGCTTAGTGTCCGATTCCTGTCGGTTTGCTTGGATCACAGCGAAAGAACACAATTGTTGACTTTCTCCTGGAACTTCCAGGAGCATCAAACTCCCATTAAAATTTCAATTTCACTTGCCATCTCTCTTTCTCAGACAGAGAGAATCAGAAGAGCATCTCTGCGGCATAATATGCAATCTGCAACGTTCCTTCTTCGCCTTCCTCAACACCACAGCCACCTCTGCCTCTCAGACCGCTTCCTCAGATCCCATCGCTCCACCTCGACTTGTCCAAAGTGGAAGCTTGCTAGTAGGATTGCTGTCGCTAGGATGTCTCCCCCTGCAAATAATTCTCACTCTTTGTCCAGGTTCGCAATCTTTGACTTCTTTGTTATCGACTTCGGTTCTACCCTTTTGTTCTCCGAGCTTCAAAATGAGAATGTTGGTAATTCTGTACTTCATACGGTAGTGTACAGGATAATGCTTATGCTGCAATTCACAATATAGCATAAGGGTCTGCATAAGTTCGATGGCATAAGAGTATTAGAAGACTTTTCAAATTTATAGCCGAGCACAATAACGTAAAGGGATTTACATTGCCGACTAAACCTGATGGGACAAGGCTTAGTTTGCTGTTGTTGCTGACTTGCTATTAGTAGTTGATGTGTCATCTGAAAAAGATGGCATGGATTGGACAGTTGCTTTAATTTGGGAACTGGGATCTGATACCCTTTGGCCTTGACCCGTTCTTCTGCATTTTTCGCGTTCCTTATTGTTGAATTTTTCAATGCTGCGTCATATGCGGACGCAATATTCCAATAGTAGAGAGGTAAGCAACATGAATATGCAATGCAATCAAAATAGTTCTCCCGCATTTAGAATGTTCATGTGATTGTCCGGCCAAAGAGCTACCGATGTAGTCATGGCAATATCTTTTTCAACAGTGAAAGTTCTCTGGCTGCTCTTGCACCGCTTGAAGCAATACTTTTTGACATTGATGGCACACTCTGTGATTCCGATCCTTTCCATTACTATGCCTTCCGAGAAATGCTTCAAGAGGTGACTAACTGATCCACTTGCCTCCCGTTTTCAGATTTTATATTTCAATTGCATTAGAAGTATATCCATGTGCAGCGTGTTCTAAAACTGTACAGTGCCTCGCAGGTCGGCTTTAATGGGGGCATTCTGATCACCGAGGAGTTCTATGTCAAGAAAATTAGTGGCATTCACAATGAAGAGCTTTGTCATTTCCTGTTTCCCGATTGGGAGATTCAAAAAGCCCGCAAATTCATGGAAGACAAGGAAGAGATGTTCCGAAGGTATTGTTCCTAGTCCTTATAGATAGTATCATATACTACCATGGTAGATATCAAGGAGGATAAAGAGAGTGAAATAAGTGGTCCTCAGGACACTTTTGAGAGCCTGGAATGATGTTTTCATTCCACAAAATGTTGAACCAAAATGCCTTAAGCAGCGGTTGCTTCATCATCAATTTTACTCGGGAGTATATGCTTTGACGCATTTGTTATGGAGTTCTGTTATCTCTTTGTAATGTTCAGCGATAGATTGCATATTTTCCGAAAGTCACACAATAACAATGCAAATTTTGTTTGGAGAAGGACAAGACATGCAGGCAACCAGAAATTACAAAAATTAGCATGATGAATAAATGAGACTCTTCATCTTTGAGGTTCTAAACAGTGGTTATAGATACAATGTAAAAAGAAAAGCCATCAGAGTTGCCATAATTCTTCTTTATTATTTCCCTAGAGGTGACAATCCAATTTTCGGGTGCTAAAGTTTGGATTCGTATCAACTGAACAAACAGATTGGCATCTGAAAAGTTGGAACCTGTCAAAGGGTTGCAGAAGCTTCTTAAGTGGATTGAAGGCCAGGGCGTGAGACGAGCGGCTGTGACGAATGCTCCTCGACCAAATGCCGAGCTCATACTCTCTCTGCTAGGCCTTAATGATTTCTTCGAGACTCTTGTGATCGGAAGTGAATGTGGACGCGCGAAACCCTTTCCAGACCCTTACCTGAAGGCCCTGAAAGTGCTTGGAGTGTCTGAAAAGCATGCTTTTGTGTTTGAGGTACTCCTCAGCTTCCTCAAGTTTGTTTTCTGCACATCTTCCGATTAGGAACAATGACAGTGATGCTGTATGCCTGCCTATGTTGTTGCCGGGTTTAAAGGTGCCTCCAGGTTCAGAAACCTAAGTTTTGTGCCCTCTGATATCCATTTATCACTTCATTTTCTGTGCTTATGTACAATCGAGTATTGTTAGCTATTGTTTGCATCATTACAAGTCGTGCTAGATATCCAAACTAAATCTGCAGCTAAATAGAATGTGAAGAGGAGTTAAATATTCTTTGTGCTTTAACCAAAGTATATATCTCATATAATAATTACAATTTCACAACACAGCACCTTTGCTTTCTTTGCATCTGCATCCTAATCATTTTCTTTGCGGCGTTGAAGGACTCAGCTTCAGGGACAAAAGCTGGAGTCACGGCCGGAATGCCAGTTGTGGGGTTAGGAACAAGGAATCCGGAGAAATTACTGACGGAAGCCGGGGCCGCTTTCGTCATTACGGATTTTCTCAACCCGAAACTGTGGAAAGCATTGGAGGAGCTGGAGAAGAATGCCGAGGTCGCAGGAATCGAGGCTTGAAATCCTACAAGTCGAACATGAGAAAACTAAGATCTCTGCTGGATGCTGTGATATCAAGTGCACCTTCTGGAGTGTTGAATTAGGCTCCGTTCGTTTGGCGGAAAATATTTTCCGGTGTTCGGGGGGCGGAAAACGTTTTCCGTGGAAAAATATTTTCCTTTCCCCCTCACAAAATAGCCTAAGTCTACGGAAAATGACTTCAGCTTTTTCAAAAGCGGAAATCATTTTCCGGAGCTTCTTCTTCTTCTTCACTAAGGTCGCCGGCCGCCGCCGTGGTCGCCGGCCGCCGCCGCCGCCGCCGCCGCCGTCGCCGGCCGCCGCCGCCCGCCGCCCGGTCGCCGGCGAAAAATATTTTCCGAAACTTTTTCATATTGATCGTCGAACACCGGAAAATTATGTTCCGGGAAAACATTTTCCAGGAAAATGACTTCCGGAAAAATATTTTCCAAAAGGAGAATATTTTTCGCCAAACGAACGGAGCCTTAGTGTAATTCATTCATTCCATTCTTTTTTATAATACCATCATTGCTTTCTATTCTCCTCTGTGTCGCACCAAAGACAATTTGGGAAGAGGATCCCCTTTTTAACCCATGTTTAGCGGTCGAGCAGAGTATCGGCACACTAAATCTTTAAAAGCCAACTTAAATCGATTTATCGAAGTTGAGCTGAACCCAATTTGTGTCTCGGCAGCTTTGATCCATTTTCAACCCATTAATCGCTAGAGGTGGCAAATTTGATCGAGGACCCCGTTTTTAAATCATATTTAGCTGGAGGTGGCAAATTTGATTGAGGACCCAGTTTTTAACTCATATTTAGCAAGCCGAATGAAATACGAGTGGCTAGAATTTCAAAAGCAGGTTGAAATATGTTCACAAAAGTAGAGTCCACCTAAATATAAGTCTTAGATGGTGTGAAATAGACCAATTTCCAGCCCATTACTAGCTAGAGGGTGACCAAATTGGGGGAAAATTACCAAAACAGTCTTAAATCTATTGCAATTGTGCCAATGCAGTCATAAACCTCTCTTTTTTTCTTTTTTCTTTTTTTTTTGATGACCCAGGGAAGTCCCGCACGGCCGACAGCCGGGAGGTAAACCCTGGGGACGACACGTGCTAGCCACCACACACGTGCACCGATTAAGTCACCCTGCGGCACCCGGGATTCGAACACTTAACCTTTTACGAGAGGAAGAGTGCGCGCTCCAGCAGCGCTACCAGGCGAGTGGTTCCTAAGCCTCTTTTTTGTGCCAACTCAATCCTAAACCTTTTGCATTTGTGCCAATTCAATCCATCCGACCAATTTTGGCCGGCCGACACTGACGTGGACGCCGACCGGTCGGTGAATGCTGACGTGGAAATTTTTAAAATAAATTTTTTATTTTTTCGAATTTTTTATATTAATTTTTTTCTTTTTTTTCCTTCATCTTCTTCAACCTCTAGCTGGTTGCTGGACCGGCGATCGGCCAAAGGCTACGGCCGGCGAGGTCGGCCTCGCCTAGCTCGCCGATCGCTTTAAGTGGGGCCGACCTCGCCCAACCTCGCTAGCTATGGGTGAGGACGAGCCTCGGCCGACCGCTAGCGAGGCCGACCTCGCCAGCGACCGGCGAGGCCAACCACGCCAGCCCCAGCCTCTGGCGGCATTCCACCTATGCACTCGGCAAGCTGTATGATTTTATCTGGGTGCGGAGGTCTAGGGCCATATGGATCATAAAAAGCTGGGTATTTATACCTCTTAGGGTTGGCTTTGGGATCTCTGGGGACAAAATCATGTTGGAATAAGGGTGATTGCAAAGGTCCCGTAATGCCCCCGAGACCAAGCCAAATATATGTAGATCTGACAACTAAATCGAGCTTCATGCTTCGCAGTCTTAGTGAGTGAAGACGACAACTCATGCAAGCATAGCCAAAGAGAAAGCAACTCGCTAAAATCGTGAATTCCAGTCTTATGGTAATATCAATCTCAGTGCGACATACATCTTTCGCCTCCGCCGGATATCAAATTTGCCTCCAATCTCCTCGCCGCCGGCTTCTTCTTCGGACAAATGAAGACTTCTCGATGAGTTTCAACATGACCAAACCAGATACAGGAGATAACATTGCATGCAAAACAAACTAAATCCACACCGACATATAGTCACACACTTGAAAACCAAAATCTGGATCAAGTAACATTGCAGAATCAAGAAAATCCGCAATTATCCTTCTAAATCTCTATCTACCAAGACCCAACACGCTCCCAGAGTCAAGCAAACCCGGCACTACTTAGCTACGTCTTCTAGCTACCAGCACTCACCTCAGCTACCTCTCTCCCACACACCCACACGCTCAGCACATCACAAACATACAAATAGTTCCAAGCAAAACACGGGATTACACAAATATACACGATGTCCAAACCAAGAATCGATTTTACCCGACAGATTCAAACACCCAAAAATGGGAAGCGACACGCAACAGAGGCGAGAGAGAGAAAGAGAGCTTTACCTACGAATCCCAAGCAACTTGATGAAGCACCGGCCGAAGACTCGCGGCCGAGGAGGAAGAACCAAAGCTAAAGAAGACGAACGGAGAAGGAGCTGACGGAGGGTTTAAGGGTTAACCCGATTTTATCTTGAACCGAATCTAAGAGGCCGGGTTAGCCTGACCGTAATGGTTAGAACTAGCCCGGCCCATGGGCACAATAAAAAGATGTGAGGTCAGTTTATTTCTTGTAAATTATTTATCCTCCAAAATGAGAATTGAACTTGGTCCTAAGCAAGACCTAAAAAGGCTTAAGGAAGATAAGGGGAAGGAACACCTCAGTGGAGGTGGGAAGTTTGTGACTTCTCACTTCTACAAAAGTATGTTCTCTCAAACTCTTCCGTATTCCCTCTCTCCAGGGAAAAAAAAAGATTTGGAAGGAACTAAGTGGCCTTTGGCTGGAGAAGGTAAACTCCAGGTCAGTTTAGGTTGGCTACCATCGGGTAGGCATGCATAGTAGTATCCCGCGCCTGGGGTGAAAAAGAGACAAGGGGCAACTCTTGTCTACGGTTTGGACATTAACGTGAATCAACCCGCAAATCCAACACCGTACCGCCGATAGATTCGTACCCGGCTCTACTCAGCTACGTCTTCTAGCTACTAGCACTCACCTCAGCTACCTCTCTCCTACACACCCACACCCTCTGCACATCACGGACATATAAATAGTTCCAAGAAAAACACAGGTTTACACAAATGCACATGATGTCCAACCAAGAATCGATTTTACCCGACAGATTCGAACACCCAAAAATGGGAAGCGACACGCAACAAAGGCGAGAGAGAGAAAGAGAGTTTTGCCTACGAATCCCAAGCAACTCGATGAAGCACTGGTCGAAGACTTGTGGCCGAGGAGGAAGAACCAAAGCTGAAGAAGACGAATGGAGAAGGAGTTGATGGAGGGTTTAAGGGTTAAACCGTTTTTATCTTGAACCGGATCTAAGAGGTCGGGTTAGCCTGACAGGAATGGTTAGAACTAGCCCGGCCCATGTTTACCTCTTTTTTTTTTTTGCAAGTAACCCACCTTTAGCAAGAAACTTACAACAATTCATGAAGACTTTTACAACATGTTAAAACCATAATTCAAGCAAATTGCTCCACCTGTATGGCAAGTTCCAGCTAACTATTCGGATGAATGCAACTTGAATGCCATCTTGAAATTCTCAACTCCATCATATGGCTGTAATTTGTCAAGAACCATCTCAACAAAATGTCCAAAAATCATGAAGTCATTCGTGTGAGTTACTTTTACCCGTATAACTCTCGACAATGGTTCTGTGTTGGAGCTCTCATTCCATCACTGCAACTCCTCCAGCAGCCTTTCAATTCTCCATTATGTCATTTGCCTCTTCCTTGGTGACACCCTATTTAAGCAAAACAGGGGCCTTCTCGACAAGGTCCTTAGCCACCTTCAACCCCAAATTGGTGAATGCCCCGACTTCTTTAATCACTTTAATCTTTGCAGCTATATCGAATTTCTCCAGCTTCACATCGAATGTTGTTTTCTCTGCCTTTTTTTCATCAGCCTTGGCGGATCTTGCACCTGCTCCTCCTTGTGGGCCTAGGTCCATGTCTTCAGTAGAGATCGTCTGCATCTTGGGATGCCGTAGTCTCTCTTGAAGAGCAAGCCCAATTTGGGCACGTTCATCAGGCGGCATTCCAGCTATGCGCTCAGCAAGCGGTATGATTTTATCTGAGGGCGGAGGTCTAGGGCCATATGGATCATAAAAAGCTGGGTATTTATACCGCTTAGGCTTGGCTTTGGGATCTCTGGGAACAAAATCATGCTGGAATGAGCACGATTGCAAAGGTCCTGTAATGCCCCTGACACCAAGCCAAACATATGCAGATCTGACAACTAAATCAAGCTTCATGCTTTACAGTCTTAGCGAAGACGACAATTCATGTAAGCACAGCCGAAGAGAAAGCAACTCGCCAAAATCACGGATTCCAGTCTTATGGTAATACCAATCTCGGCAGATATCAAATTCGCCTCCAATCTCCCTGCCAGCTTCTTCTTCGGACAAATGAAGACTTCTCGATAAGTTTCAGCATGACCAAACCAGACACAGAAAATAACATTGCATGCAAAACAAACTAAATCGACACCCACATATAGTCAAACACTCAAAAATCAAAAGCTGGATCAAGTAACATTGCAGAATCAAGCAAATCTACAATTATCCTTATAAATCTCTATCTACCAAGACCCAACACACTCCTAGAGTTAAGCAAACCCGTGCTACTCAACTATGTTCTCTAGCTACCAGCACTCACCTCAGCTCCCTTTCTCCCAAATGCACACACGATCCAACCAAGAATTGATATTACCCGACAGATTCAAACACCCAAAAACGAGGAAGCGCGCAACAGAGGCGAGAGAGAGAGATCTTTACCTATGGAATCCCAAGCAGCTCGATGGTTGAAGATGAAGCATCAGCCGAAGACTCATAGCTGAGGATGAAGGAAGATGAACAGAGAAGAAGCTAACGTAGGGTTTAATGGGGTTTTGAGATTTTCAGTCGAACTCCTTGTGAGTGCCATCATCAACCCGTTCTATCTTGAACCGGATCTAAGAGGGCCGGGTTAGCCCGACCGGAATGGTTAGAACTAGCCCAGCCCATGGCCCATGGGCATTATACAAGATGTGAGGTCAATTTATTTCCTGTAAATATTTATCCTCCAAAATGAGAATTGGAACGTTTTAGTGTGGATAATAACACAAACAGATCTTGAACTTTGGTTCAATATATAGTTTAGTCTCTAAACTTTTAATTTGTTCAATGTAGTCCCTAAACAGTAGCCTAATGTTTAATTTGATCGGTGAACTTTTAATTTGTTCAATGTGGTCCTTGGACTTTTGGTACATGTTCAATTTAGTCCCTAAATTTGAATTAATGGAAAGACTACATTGAACATTTTCCAAGTTCAAGGACTACATTGAATATTTTCATATAGTTTAGGGACTAAATTGAACATATACCAAAAGTCCATGAACCACATTGAACAGATTAAAAATTCATGGACCAAATTGAACATTAAACTAAAGTTTAGGGACTACATTAAACAAATTAAAAGTTCAGGTACCAAATTGCATATTAAGCCAAAGTTTAGGAACTGTTTATATCATTTTCCCTTTTTAGTAATATCATATGTCCTGTGGTATGCAACGCCTATTCATGAATAAAATTTATCTGACAGTGGAAAGCCTTCTTTATGATGAGTTATATATATATAACTACTTTTTACGTAATAAGATACATTTATCAAATTATGAGTAGTCTTTTTACTAAAAATTGAAGGGAAAAAATTAAGGGGGGCCCAAAGCAATGGCGAGAGTCCCGGGCAACTTTCGCTTTTTTTTTTATGGCTCCGATTCTACGACCCTCATTTATGAGAGCCGCCACCCCCTATAGTGGCTCAAAAAGGTCGTGCGACTTCGTCAGTGATTGGTGAGAGCCGTGATTGAGAATCATTTTCCATACGTGGTACTTTTGGAGGTTCTCTTATTAGTTTAGCTTTGTAAATTGTAGCTTATAAATTCGACTCTTTCAATTACGAAATCTGAACCAGTTTCTCCATGGCAAAAAAAAAAAAGAAATTGGTAGTTTTCATACTATCGATTAGTATAGAACATGTATGATTAACTGAGCTACAAAAATAAAGGTACATCAAAGTTGTGTTCAGCAAGAGCAAGCAATTGTAAAGAAGCAGATTCAGTCTATCTGATAAATTAATCTGAGATCATTTCTCAGTTCTTCTTCTTTCCAATGAATCTGAACTTCAAGCTGAAAAAGCAGAAAGAAAAGAGGGTAGAAAGAAATGTCGAATCACGAGAAGAAGTCTTACAGAACAATAATTGCAGTCAGGACCAACTTTTTTCTTGATGCCCTCGAAGGAATTGAAAAGAAGACAGAGAGTTTAGCCTCGGATCAGGAAAAGACTGACAAAAGATTTGTCTAAAGGAAGATGCTTTTGTTTCTTTTTATCGAAAGGTACTATCATGGAGATGAAGATATGGTGAGGGATGATGAAGAGGCATAGTTTGGTGCTCATGCGACAGAAGTGGACGCTTTTGTGGGATCAATCATGCCATCTTTTTATCTCACATGTTCGCCTCTTTCTTTTTTGCCCTTTTCGCGGTAGAGAAAGAAGACAAAGAAGAGAGTTGTCCCGAGAGTAAAATCCCGAATGCTGAATACTTTTTGCGAAGGGTCATATCCTTAAGATTAGTTAGAGAGACAAACTATTCCAGGTACGCGAAACTAACATTGATTATAGTATAAAGTGTGTTTCGAGAAGTTAGTTTTCCTCGCATTTACTTGTCCCGTGCAACTAGCTAGGCTCTCTTTTATTCACTTTACATGTCGATTTGCTTTACTAGCTCGGTAACGGAGAAAAAGAGGTGTTCAGCTCGCGCTAGTATGCTCGGGTCGAATCAAGTGTAAAGTTGGATTTCGAGCCATGAATGATCGATATACCTCGATACATCAATCGCTATATAAATTTAGCGAAAAGCTATAGTATTCACCACATTTTCTCTTTAGGGTATACACAATTTTAATTTCTCAAATAAGTGCTTCTCTATAAATTATAAGAGTACCCACAAGGGGCATGACCAGTCGGTCTATCTACCCATCAACCCCAAAATCAAATGGAAGATTTTGACCCAATTCTTCTTCTTCTTTTTTTGGGTTAAAAAAAGGCAAAGAAATGGGGAAAGGCATAAGCTAGAATGGAATGATGCAACTAATGCCTAATAAATCAGGTTGAGGAAAAAGGAAGAAAACTAGCATCAATCGACTCCTTCAAAAACTGCCTTCAACACATTGCTTTGCTTCACCAAACTTCCAACCCCTAGCTTTGAAAAGATCATGCTTTGGACTAATTTAACAGGATTAAGACTAATAATCCACCGAAAGGAACGTGTAAATTAACACTTTGCGCCTTTCTTCACGGGGTTAGTTTCGGTTGTTAAGGCGTCGACATCTGACTTACCAGGAATCTTAATTTCCTCAAGTATGCTTGTTCAATGCCATACAAAGACACAGCATATGTACCCGTGACATACAAGACAATGGAATTTCGATACTGTCCGTGCACGAGATACACCAAGGCACTTAATGTTGAGTGAGAAAAAGGGTCCCCTGGCTCGTTAAACCTCTGTATGAACAGTGCAAGGTAAAAAGCCAACAGGGCTGTATGGTCCCTTGACAACACGTTGAAAGATCATGAGTTTTCTTCTTAGGGACAAAATAGGATTGGTCCCCCGTGGCCCGGGTGAAATTTTTTAGGTGTTTCGGAAAAGTTACAGTCCAAAAATCATGTCGAAAAAGAATTTAACATTCTTGCTGCTTGTTCCGAGAGGACGTGAGAAAGGGAGAAATCTTTCGGCGGTCGGATTACTGGATAAGGTTCATGCACAGCGACTTTTGGTCGGCATTGCACGCACTCTTTTGGGACTAGACCCAACCCCCCGAAAGCCATTGATCTCGCTACCCGCGAAGCATCATGCAAACCCGCCATTTATTTAACGCATCGCTCCGAGTTGTCTGTTTCTCGGACTGATGTTCCCCTTAATCAAATGTTTCGTGATGGACACCTGCCCGTTTGCTTGTACCGTCGTGGTGAAACAGCCCCCGCTAATCCTGGGTGCGTCTTTAGTTTATGTTCCTTGATTTGGAAGTTTAATCGCCCGTTTTGAGTTTCGCGAAGCGGGTTGTGTCTGGTTCACCCGACCTTAATCTGGGCCCGTTTCAAAGCACGAGAAATTGATTTATTTCTCCTGCTAATCTGTTCCTTCGTTCCCTGTTTCTGGCCATGCTTGTTTATGCATATATAAAGGGTTGAGTCTTTTCTTGCTTTGAGAGATGGTGCGTGACATGAGTAATTGCTGAGAAGCCCGCTTGGTTCATACGTCTGTGAGGACCATCTCTTGTGTTCTGGTCTCTTTCTCGAGCTTTTCATGTGTGAATGAAAACTTGTCTCCTTTCTCTCAATCAGGTTAGGATCAACATTCACATGTGAAGCATAAGGTGTCATTTCAGTCCTCTGCTTTTCCTTTTACTTTTGATTTTGTTCAGGTCAGTATCTCGAAGTTCCGCAGCGAGTATTCGGCAGATCTCTGTTTGATGAGAAGTTTCTCTACTTGAAGGTTTACCCTTTTTCCCGAGCGCAGAAATCAGCCTGCTTATTACCTTGTTTGTTGCAGCAGGACTGGCTGAAGTAGTCTGAATTGCATTTGGCCAAAGCTATATGGTTCTCAGAAGAAAGACAAACAGAAAGGCATAACTTTCAGGATTGTTATGGATGGTGTGCATCAGTTCAGTTGGAAGTTCAACTCTTCATTCAAGCTGGAAAATGTGGAAGAGGATGAGGAGCTGAAAGGAGCGTCTTCGTTGCCATCGGTCCCTCAACCACAGACGCCGAAGGAGCCGATGGAGTTCTTGTCAAGGTCGTGGAGCCTTTCCCCATCGGAGGTTTCAAAAGCTCTGGCTCACAAAAAGAACGACATACACACAATACATAACAAGAACCTCAATACATGTCCACAGCCGCAGGCACCTGTTGCTCCTCAACTTCTTGTGAGTCACAGTTTCCCTTCTTTTGTTTCCGCGGTCATAGTTCACGTTCATGATTTTGAATAGAGGATAAGACAGCGACTTATGAATTAGGATGGTGCTCAAGAAACACAAAACCAAAGTACCAAAAACAGAATTCCATTCTCTCGGATAGCTCTCACTTGAATTGTCAAGCATGTTTCACATTCTACACGTGAAAAGTCTGTACTTATACCCATGTGGTCCAAACAGCAATTACACCCTGCCAATCGAAATTTCCCGTTGTTCAAATGGTTTACTTTGGCTTTGGTCTGAAACTTGGTTGGTTTACAAATTGCACCGAGCAACCCTGCTGATTCGCATTTTTTTTGTACAGGCATCGAAGGTTATGAATTCAGTTCATGCTAGGAGGACGGGGTCTTTTGGGAAATGGATCCACCACCACCTCCACCACCACCTCCATCACCACCACCACCACCACCAGGGTCATAAGGAGCACGACAGGAACGCGATGAAGAAGAAAGAGAGTATGCGCATGGAAAATGCGCACTTTCATTCAGCTATTTCTATTGCCGGGCTAGCTGCCGGTTTGGCTGCCGTGGCTGCAGCACAAAGCTCCAATTCGGATTCAAAGATGAGTGTGGCTTTGGCCTCAGCCACAGAACTACTAGCATCACATTGCGTCGAACTAGCTGAACTAGCCGGAGCTGAGCATGATCGAGTGGCATCTGTAGTCCAATCAGCTGTGGACATACGTAACGCGGGAGATCTCGTGACTCTCACAGCAGCTGCCGCTACAGGTACTGCAATCAATAGATTTTATGTACAGTTGAAGTTCATGTGAATCAGTACACAAAGTGGTGATGTTTAGCTGAATTTGGCACTGCCCTGCTTCAGCTTTGAGAGGAGAAGCGGCGCTGAAAGTAAGAAGGCAAAACGAAGTAAAGAGGAACGCAGCGATAAGTCCCTATGATAAAGGAATGGCAGAAACACATACCATCATGACTCTTCGCAGCCACATTGAAGAAAGCAGTACTCCATGCGAAGGCGAACTTTGGCAGCATACAACAAAAGGTGATATTATTATCTAAAGGAGGATAGTAGCTTCACTGTATAAAGCCCCATCAACGGTTTGACTCGACTTATTGCATGAGCAATTGCCATTTGACTTGTATTCCATTGAATTTTTCAGGATTATTTCAAATGAAGCATGCGTCTGTGTACATTAACAAAAAGTCCCAGGTAAATAGCTTTCTCTACTGCGGAGTTGACACAGAAACTTACGAAAAGAAAGAAAGAAATGGCACTAAAACTTTATGCGCATTGTCAGGTCATTCTTAAGCTAAAGAGCAAGCACATTGGAGGAGCATTCTCGACGAACAGTAAATGTCAGTACCTTATCCTAGCTTTTTTCATTTGCATATATCGTATATAGTCAACTCGGTGTCTGACATTTCTATACTGTTACCAGGCATAGTTTATGGCATATGCGATGAGAATTCCGCCTGGCCATACAGAACAGAAAGAGACAACCCCGAAGAAGTCTTCTTTGGTCTCAGAACGGCACAGGGTTTTCTAGAGTTCAAGTGCAAGAATCAGGCCCATAAGCAGAGATGGGCTGATGCAATACACAACCTTCTTCGTCACGGTAACTGGGTTGAAGCTGCTGAGTGCTCTCCAGAGCTTCTAAACATCAGTAACAGCATCAGTCTACGAGTTTTTGATGGTGTCAGCTCCGGAAACAGGACATGAAGAAACTCCATTAATGAAATCAGGAGTCTGATTCCGATGCCTGTTTATCTTTTGACAGTAAATATCTTTTTCCCCTCTTCCGATGTCCTAATACATGCAGAAAAAGTAAGATAACTGTCCGCACAAGCTTGGAGCATTGTACTTGGATACTTTTCAGGAGCATGGTATGAAGAAACACTTTTTGGTATAGGAGCATGGTATGAAGAAACACTTTTTGGTATTGCCCGTTTGCCTCTAGATCACTCGTGACACAAAATGAAACCTTCATGACAGTGCTTCTCAAGATAGAAATAAGTAGCTTTTATATTTGGATCTCATAGCAACAATGAATTTACAAATCATCTTCACTCGATTTTCATCCAAGGGAATAGTAAAAGCAAGTGTAGCGACGGCAACAGATGTGGAGATGTCTCTAGTACTCTTCGCGGGATTAGAGGTTTGTCGTAAAGAATTCTCAAGTGAGTAAGTGCGCAGACATTGCAGTTTCCGTGAACTGCGCCTCCCCTTGTCAAAATACAACAGTCTTATTCTTCTCGTAAGGTAATACTCGCAGTTCGCAGTATGATTTTATCGCCTTCGAAAGACATTGTTTCTCGAGGTTCTCTGACTTCTGCACAAAACTATGTAAGTTATCTCTGTGCGATACCCTCTCAACCTGCAATTAGAGAGAAGAAATATTAAAACCAGCTTACAATTGAAAAGGTCCAAAAAGTGATTAGAAAGCGAGATTCATTAGATGAACTTTTTTGGACAAATAGCGGATTAAGTCTTTTAGAAATAGTTTGCGGACAAAACTGTCTTCGCTTGACATGAGTAAATGGATAAAATCCGGAGGTATGACAAAAATCGTTATTGATCTTGAACACAATATAACAGCCAAAGTTGACGGACATAGCTGATTGCCTATGAAGATGATCAAATTGAGGAAAAACAAATCACGATTCTCGCTTCCAGCAAGAAAACCTCATGCCATGAAATATTCTAATAACATCAGGTACGGGCTAGGCGGCTATGCCAGGTAAGAAACGGGCCAAAGCCCAGGTGGGTAGGTTCGACTATGTGATTGCTTGTGCTTGATACCGTGCACAATCAACCTGGTGTTGTGCATCTAATGCATAGGCACATATCTATTCCTCGACCACTCAGTCAACCTTGTGGGTAAAAAAAAATATTTTTCCTTCATAAGCAAGTCCTCAATTTCCTTCCAAATCCTTCTTTCTTTGACCAAGAGAAGAAGGGAACAGAAAAATGTAGATCTTAAAGCAAATGTCCAACGAGGCATTATCTAAAAACACTTTAAGATCACAGGTACTACTGAGAATCTCTATAATCCAATGAGAAAATTCTACGGGCAACAAACAAGATCTCTATATTTAAGGTTTAGGCATGCTCGAACCCAGTGCTTTTCTACTCATAATATGCTCAAGGTCTTGGATAAATAATTGCAGAGGACAGCCATATAAAGTTCCATTCTGCAAAGCTTTGCAGATTTCTTCTTCACCTTCAATAAAGACTTCATGGCTAGTATTTAGTTCAAGCAAAACCTAGAACCATTAAGATGATTATACTTTGGTGACAAAAGCAAGCTGAGAGTCTAATGAAGTCTCTAGGGATTGTCCCTTACATTTGATAGGTTTTATATTGAAAAAGATCAAAACACTGTCGAGTGGAAGAGAAATTATAGGCACAAAGAAAAAAAATAAAGCGGAAGGCAAAATGGACTCAAGATTCAGTTGATAAAAAACTACTGACATCCATAGAAACCTATGTGTATGCAGACTTCAGGTAGTTACCAAGTGCCTATTTTACCCACATTAAAGTCCTTTTGAGCACAAGAAAATATTAGTCGGCATTGACCTTAATCTGTCAAGTCCACTGAAGAATATATGGAGGCAAAACCCATACCAGGGTCGGAAAGTGAGTGCTTACCATTTGCTCAATAATGGGCCCTGCATCAAGTTCTTCTGTCACAAAGTGACTTGTTGCTCCAATTAATTTGACACCCGCATCAAAAGCCTGATAATTTTTTCAAGCAAATCAAGGAAAAACTAAAATCACAGAGAATGAAACTGTGAAATAACTGAAAATCATATAGCTCCGAGTTATTAATTTTTTAACCTGCTTAGACGGATTTCCTCCTTTAAATGATGGTAAAAGGCCGTGGTGAATGTTAATTATATCCTTCCCATAGCTTCTCAAAAAGTTTCCAGAGAGTATCTGTGGAAAAATTTCAGCTGCACATTAGCAGTGACTAAAAAAGGACAGATTGCATTAACAAGTGATTCTGGAATGATGAATAAAAGGAGAGATGTGTGTTACTTCAATTGCAAATCATAGAACAAAATCATCCACAGAGAGATACTTTCTACTTTGACTTCAGTGTGATAATAAATCACAATACACAAGCTTATTTACCTGCATATACCTGGCAAGTACTATAAAGTCGGTGTTCTGGACCAATTCCAACATCTCTCCATCTCTCTTGTTCTCTTTGGTCGTCTGCAAATAATGATATGGAATGCCATGCCTCCCGAGGAATCGTATCACATGGGTGTTTGGGCCTCTATCGTGGTTACTGTTCCAGAAAACAACCTCATTAATTCAAATTTTTAAAACAACAATGCAGATACGGTCAAACATAGATGAGAAATTCACCTTATCACACAAGTTATTTCCACAGGAAGTCTCCCATCCTGCCATCCATGTAATAAATCAACCAGGCAATGGTCCTGCAAATTGATCAATACACAGCAAATATGAAGATACGCAGACCAAAACAGAAGATAGAGACGATTAGTCTCGTACTACGAACCTGCTTTGAAGCAAGCACAGCAATCTTGTACATGGGATCTAAAATTGGAACACGGACAACTGATCTCATCGCATTGAACTTCTTGGACAATTTGAGGAAGTCCTCATCCATTTGCCCCCGTGGCCACTTAATCGGGTCAAAAATGAACTCACTATTAAGTTTGAGGAAGAAAAAATGCGAAGGTGCTCAGAATTCAAGAAGTGATAATCAATACATATAGTGCCTATCAAGAATGATAATAAGTGCATTTGCAATGAGCCTACAGGCATATCCACACACATCACACGATAAACCAACAACAATTTATTCTCCAATTTAAACTGACTAGAGAGACTCAAAGAAAATACAGTGCTCTAAAGAGTCGTGAATAATTTAGCTCCATACTTGCAGATTTATGTGTATCAGAATGAACAAACCGAGGATCATTTGCAGAAAAACTTGCATTTGCCCAGTTCCTGAAGAACTAATTTACTCGATTCATTGCGGAAATGTTGCATTAACAATTTAACATTCCATTAGAAAGATACACAGGTGATAATTAAAACCGACGGTACCTATCAGGAAAGATGATAAAAACGCCCATTATCAGCCTCCAAACATAACCCACACATATTACATGATTAACCAGTAACCATCCCATCTTCTAAATTGACTTAGAGACCCAGAGAGGGGTAGCCTAGCCATAATAGAAAGAGGGAACTAATCTGATTGAATCGCGAATAACTTTGCTCCCTACTTGCAGATTTACATATATCAGAATGGGCAAACCAAGAATCATCTGCATAAAAAAAACTTGCACTTGCATTCAGCTCACGTCACAAAGAACTAACTTTACCCACTCCATTGAGGCAATGTAACAAACAATTTAGCGCTTCTTTCCCTTTTTTTTTGGCCAGAACAGTTTTAACACTACACCAGAAGCCAATGACAAAGGAAAGAAAAGCAACAACACAGAATGTACAACAGAGAAAAACTAAACCAACAAGACACGCGTACCTTCTGGAATAAAAGACGTTCTCATTTTCGGGCACGAAAACATCGGCCCCAAGTATATTCCCGCCTCTGGAAGCGATACAATCCGATAGCTTCGCCACAATTCCAACGTCATCCTGTTACATTCGTAAGCCATCAAGCTTCGCACTCCTAACTCGAGACCCAAAACTCAGCAACCACATGAACCATCACCAATGGCCATGACATCCACGGAGTTTCATGAAGGGGACGAAACCAGACAATCAAGAGTCCGTGACACGTCTTAAAAAAACCGGCTCCAATGCCCGAACAACAATCAAAATCTCAGAACGCAAAACAAGAGAACGGTGTGGGGAACCTTTCCCGCGTAAACTGCAAATGACGAGAAAGTGGAGTAAAAGAGCCCGCGGGCAAGAAGAAATTGGGAGGGACTGGATTGAAAACTCACGGGGCAGTGGAAAACGTGGACTCCGTGGGCGAGAGGAGTGAAAGACCTCGAGCCAAGGGACTGCCCAGCGAATCTCGAGGACTTGAAGGACCCGTTAGCAACCACCCCCAGAACTTGAGCCGCCGCCTTCTTCGCGAACGCCATTCTCCTCTCCCCCTCTATACCACAATGCCCGGCGGCGATAACCACCACCAGCAACCCCCCGCCGCCGCCGCGAAAAAGGGCCGTTCCCTTTTGGGTGGTGGGGGCGCGTTACCTATGACGAGTGGCTGAAGCTGCCACATTCATGGGCATCACTCAAATCTCGTGGAGATGCTTTATCTGGTGAAGAAAAGTATATATATATCTGCCCGCTTGAGGATGGAAATCTGCGAAATCTTTGTAGTGCACTTACTTTAATCTTAAAGTTTTCGCCGGATTATTTATGTACCAAATCGAAAAAAAAAAAAACGATCACGTAAGTACCAACAATGAGAAATTTCGGCCAAATTAATACGTGAATTTTTTAATTAAAATTTTAATCTGAGTTGAGTTTTTTAAAAAAAAAAATCAGTCTATATGACATTTCCACGTGTATATTTTGATTTTTTTAAAAAAATTCTGATTTTTTTCTATTTTTTCCTTCTTTTCTTTTTCTCCCTCTCACCCACTTTTCACCACCTTCTTCTTCTGGTACACATACAAGCGAGGCCGGCCGAAGCACACCACCGGTGGCCATTATGGACCCACAATGTAAAAGAAGAAGAAAGAAAAGAAGGAAAAAAAATCAAAAAATCAAAAAAATATATTTAAAAAATTGAAGTGTACATGCTAAACTACGTCGTTTTGAAGTGTACATGCGACTAAACCTCCGGCGAGCCACATCGGCTTCATAAATTAATAAAAAAATGCCACGTCGGATTTCCGATCAAATTGATCGGAGTTGGCACTAAGTAATCGTTTTCAAAAGTTTGGC